TCAAGCATGAAGTCAACGTATGTGGTGCTGGAATGACTGGCGTGAAACCCTGGGCCACCCCCAACCTTGTCCTCTGCTTTCCGGCACACACGGGGGCTGCACTCACCATCTGACAGCCCTTTCCGACCACAGCTCTTTCTCTTTGGCATTCGTTGTTCCGACAGCGACAGCGGAGTCTCAGCCCAGCGGGGGCCCTCCTCGCTTTCAGCCATAGCCACCTGCCCTACCTAGTGCCTCCCTCCAGCCAGCGATTCTGGACGGGTGCTCAGTTACCGTCCCTCACACAGAGAGCGCCCCCGGGTCTGGGATCCATGGGCCACCAGCAGAGCCCAGGAATGTGCATTTTCAACAAGAATCCAGCTGACAGGTGTAACCAGGCAAGTCTGGGCAGCTATTCCTTAAGGAAGAGCTTATCAAGCTTGAGTTGGCTACAGGAAATCATCCAGATCCTGACTGTATTTACTCTGCAACCACTGAGCTCCCACCCTTCCGCTGCCCTGTGCCAGGCTCTGCGGCTGCAAGGAGGCAGCAGCTCTGCCCTCCAGGAGCTTATGTTCCAAGCAAGGAGACAAACACAACACTGTGCGACTGATCCAACAGTGGGACCAGGGACGCAGCCGTGGACAGGGGCTCAGATACCCAGGGGCGTGGGCTTCCCCGAGGACAAGGCTGGAGCGCAGCCGCCAGCGAGGAGTGAGTGGGGCAGCCGCGCCCAGGACAGGGAGCGGCCCACCGGGGAGCTGCAGGACGCTAAGGACGCCTGGAACACAAAGATGCACAAGGACTTAAACAGCCAACGGGACCTGGTCCTGCCAGCCCTATAAACTTAAAATGAGAGAAACCAGGGAAAACATTAGTCTAGAATAGCACGGAGAGATCCTTTCTGGTGCTAGAAAGGTCACTCTTGGTGGCCGTGTTGGGGGTGGATTCATTCAGGGGAGATTACAGCCAAGGTGGCCAGTGTGGAAAGGACCACCAGGCTCTGAGAAAGAGCGAATGAGAGCCTGGACTGAGGCACGGAGAGGAGGGACAGCCATGCCAGTGACTACAGAAGGAGCAGACGGGCAGAGAGGGTCCCTGGGGCTGTGAGGAGGGAGGAGGGCACAGACACAAGTCCAGCTGGGACCAAAACACGGGGCGTGGGGCACGCAGCCCACAGGCACCCAGGTCAGTGTCAAAGGACACTGAGAGAAAATTGAGGAAAGGGTAGCAGCGAAAAGAACTAAAGAAAACAGGTAACTCGACAAGATGGCCTGAGCCTAGAGCCAGGCCAGACTAATTAAATGATGCCGGCTGTATAAAAACGTCCGCTCAATTCAACACACACTTCATCAGTGTCTATGCAAGTTCTGGAGGCAGAGGTAGAACAGACGGCCCCTGCCCTCCGGGTGCCTCATGAGCCCCTTACCAATCCTTTGCCTGGGCAATTTAATTGTTCTCCCAAGACAATGGCCCCCAAAAGTCAGGTGGTGTCGCAGAGGCAGAGGCCCCCGCAGGCAGGAGGGCCAAGGCCTGTGGGGCATCGGCAGCGGCTGGGAGGATCAGGGCTGGGAACGCCGGAGAAAAATCCACAGAGGAGAGGGAGGAGGAACAGTCTGGATCCCAGAAAACAATGTGCAAAAACTCCTGGGAGACCGAGGCATCCACCCAGGGAGTGACAAGGGACGCAGGACACAGCCGTTGAGAGCAGCAGTAAGAGCTGAGTGGCAGGCAAGGAGGTCTGGTGGCACAGAAGAGGAACTGAATCTTCAAGGGATGATACGTTGACAGAAGAAGGAAGAGTCACGGTTAAAGCGAGGGCCAAGAGAAGGAACAGCAGAGCGTGGGAGGGAGAGAACCAGGGCTCGCACCAGAAGGGCAGGTGAGCCGGCTGACATCTCCATGCAAGCAAGGGTGGAGTCGCAGGCACGCCATCTGCACGTGAGATGCTAGAAGGAACCAGCATGTCTCAAACAGAACAAAGAGTGGAGACCAGGTGGGGCCTGGCAGGATGCAGCACCGCATCTGTGCATGCCACAGTGGGCCTTAAAAAATGAGCACCCTGCCATTTCACATAAACACACTTTCGTTTCCAGATGGATAATTTGAGAAACTGAGATGTTTACTAGGTCTCCAGTGGCTGAGTCTGTGACAGGCTGGAACTAGGGGAGAGTCTCCGCCACAAAGACACTTTGCCCGGCAAAACTGCCTCCCAACAAACACACATGTCATTGTCTGTCGGGGGTCCGTTAAAGCCTTCTGATAGCAAACGCTGCTGTGAATCCGAAGGAAGTTCAAGGCGGGGTGATGCGCTGAATCTTTCTAGGGATTATTGGGAATTAATTTTATTTGTAAATTGTCAAAATTCACTGACTCTAGATATAAAAACTTGAAAAGCTAAAAACCTGAAACAACCAGTAATGAATCTTTGATCTTTTGAAAGAATGGCTTCATCTGGGTTTATATAAATAAGACAGTCTGTGAACAGGCTCCAAGGCTGGAGCTGAGAAGGCTCTGTGAGTGAACACCGTTCATCTTACACTGGCTAGAAATACACATGACTTCACATCCGAAACCCTTTAGAACACTGTTTATCCTTCTAAACATCCATCTGCAATTTTTTTAAATACATAAGAGACACCCAATCTTTTCTGCATGGTAAGATTAGTGGTGATTTTGTTTCATTATATATCATTGTGTTTTCAAAATTTTGGTCATTGAACCTGTATCATTTTATAAGCAAAAGCCTAATTTTTAAAAAAATGAAATAGCATGTCTTCTTTTAAAAAAGGATATATAGTATGTTTTGAGCCTTATTGCTGTTATTGTTATAACTCCAATCAGAAATTCCAACTCCATTTTATATAGAGAAACATAATCCTTCTGATAGAAACTATTATCAAAGTTAACAATCCAAAGACAGTGACTACAGTTAGAGAAAGGGCTTGGGCTCAAGAGTCTCACAGACCCTGCTCAGATCCCAGATCCAGTACATACCCGCTGTGCAACCTCAGACAAGTTTCATAACCTCTCTGATCCACAGTTTCCTCACCTGCGAAATATCAGTTGTGAGGACTAAAGGGCTACCATGTGCCTGAAGGTATGCAAACCACAAAAAATTTGGTTCTATTCTGCTTCTTTTAAGTGTGACAAATGTACTCAGAGATGGTAGCTGATATAAAGTAAATTAATTGGTAATTTGAAATATTTTCATCTGAAAACAAATGCAGATAATTTTCAAAAACCAGACTGGAAAGAAATGTTGTACTTAGGACTGATCACATGCACCCCTGCTCCAAGACATCTGGTGGGAAAAGGAGGTGAACAATTGAAAGTAATTCTGAGAAGTTCTCTGTAAAGTGTCTAGAACAGAGCTTGGCTTATAGCAGTCACCGAAAAGTATTATAGCTATTGGCTTATATATTATATTATACCTAAGTAGGCATGTGCAATGAAGTAAGAAAAACGTGCCACATTCATACCTTAATTCATTGTGAGACATGGCAGTGTGGCAGGCATGTTAACTGCTGTATATTGGTAAGGGCCTAACCGTTATTTGGGGTATCAATATATGCTATGCAATATATTGCATATATGGCTCATCAGAGCAAGAAATACACAAGGAATATACGCTACAAGGACGAAAGTCTAACACAGAACGCGAACTTTGGTCACAATCATTATTACCACCATGTAGCCGACACCTACACAGACACAGAGTGTGCCCTAAAACCAGCATGTCTCAGATGTCCCCTGATTTCAGTGTTCAGGAACCGAATCAATGTGATGGGGTATGGGTTGTTTGATTTGGGGAGAAAGAGAGAAGATGTCTAAAAAGAGAGAGGCTGGGGATTGTTATGGTAATTTCAATTCCAAGAGCACAAACTACTTCTATTACTAGAAACAAGAACCTCACCACTTCCATAAGGAATCTGAACAGACCCTGACTGGCCGGACTGCACTCAGGTGCCCCAGATGAGGGGGAGCGTCAGAAACCTGGAGAACAGAGGCCAGTGCAGGGTCGCCAGGACACCCGATTTTCATTCAAGCGTCTATTAGTCAACCAGCTGCACAAACCACTCACTTCATTCACCTGTTCTTGAATTATTTATCATCTCCCCTGAGTGAGAGGAGATTATTCTTTCTGGTCACTTGCTCTGTGTCAGAGGCAGTTCAGGGAGCTCCAAGTCTGACAGAGCTGGATGGAGCTTTCTGGTCAAGGCAAAAACAGGAAAAATGCAAATGAAGTATTTCTGGGGGAAAAGGGAGTAGTGAGCCTTCTAGAATGCAAATAACTCCCAAAGTCCAAAGAAGCTGAGAAAGTTCCTTTAAAACACACTAGCAGAGGTCTGCTGCACAGCTTGGGCATGATCTGTTCTGTGCCCCTTTTTATTCTGAATCTGGTAAAGTTTCCTTTTCCCTTAAGAACTGTCAACACTTTAAGGCTCAATTTTCTACCACAGATTAGACCCAGTATTCCAGGGTCTAATTTTGCTATTCAGAAGTGATGGAATTTTGCACCCTCCAAGGCTCTCTAACAGGGAGGGGAGGGGGACTGAGCAAAAATCCTGCTATTTAGAAGTGGTGGAATATTGTACCCTCCAAGAGTGCAAAATTCTAAATAGCAGGATTTTTAATCAGCCCCCAAATTTCTGTATCTGAATTCTTTCTCTCTCACCCCCAGATTCCTAAATCCACCAATTCATAGATTTACCCAATCTTAGCAACAGAGGAATCATCAGGTCAACTCTGTCACTTTGGAGATGGCAGGAAGGCCAGCAAGCAGCGGGCCTAGGGTTACAGGGTTGGAAGCCACCCTCCTCCCCAGGCGGGCTCCCCCCTTCTCCCTGTCAGAGAGCCTGGTAGCAGGAGCTGCTCTAGCTGCTCAGTTCTATTTTAAGCTAAATCTCTCATTCTGGAAACCACTTATACAAAACACTGGCATCTCACCCACCCTGCAGTTTTCTTCAGGTCTGCGTTTGGGGTCATTTCCCACTGTAGGCAAGTTCCCAGACGCTCACCGAAACCATGCTTCCACGGGCGTCTTGGTGTCCTTCTGCCACCCAGACTTGCTGGGCTGTTAAATATGGGGGACTGTGCACGGTGGCACTCCTTCTAAAACACCTATCTCGGCCATTCTTCCCACCAAGCCGGCGAAGGTGAGGAGAGGGAGCTTAACCTCAGAGAAGGAAGCCCTGAGAACTGCACCCACTTGCTGGGCGTGGCAGTCTTCTGGAGAACAGCTTCCTCAGCCCTCAGTGGGCGGCCTTGTACCCTTACCGCGTGTGCAACGGAAAACCGAGGCTTCTGTTTCCACCTGACCTTGACTCGACTCACTAAAAGTGAGGGGCAATTTCGTGGTCACAGCATTGTACATATTTTTCTCTCAAATGAGCAGAAAGCAAATGTCAGGAGACATCAGAGTCCAGTATCACAGCGTCATGCTACAGTGGATACAGCCAGTCAGGGTTCCCAGCTCCCTCGGGGCTTCTCGCAGCTTTGGCCCTCTATTCACACGCCACACCTAAAGAATTGGGGCCCAGGGCCACTGGCAACCTGCCGTAGCCCCGGAAGTCCGGCAGGAAGCCTGTGCTTCCTGTCCCCAGCTGGGGACGCGGGGGCCTGGCCAGAGTCTGAGCCCTGCACGGGTCTTCGGGAGCTGGAACCCAGGAGGGCACAGGAGGGGACTGTGGTCCGTCTGGTGGTCACTCCCTGCGTGGCTCTCCTCCACGGCCTCGTTTACCCCGTCCCTCCCTCTCTCTCGCCTCCTTGCTTCTTCTCTGCGCCTGGACCCCATCACCTCCTCTCCCCACAGCGCCCTTTACTCGCGGCGCTCCCGTCGCGTTTCCACTTGGTCTCCAATGGCGTTGCGCGCGCCCATGGCAGAGCCCCGCTCTCAACGCTCCTTGTCGGGCTACTCGACCGCCTGCCCACCGCAGCGCCCCTCTTCGCCTCCCTCCCCCAGGGGGAAGGGGCGGAGAAGAGGGGAGTACAAGGGTCGCAGGCGCCACCCCGGGGCGGGACGCGGGCTCAGCCCCTGAGGACGGTGTCCTACCCCGACTCCAAGGGTCCCTGGCCTCCACCCCGGGCATCCAGGGCACGCCCAGCGCCGCCCGGCCGGGACGCGGCAGCGGCTGCCCTCCCGGGCCCTCCGCGCCCGCGCCCGCAACGGGAAGGAAGCGGACAGGGGCGCGTTGGGGCGAAAGAAGAGAGTTAGGGACCGTTGCGGGCTACTCACGTGCCAGATGGCGAAGAAGATGAGCGCAGCGCACAGCACCAGAGACAGCATGTAGCAGAAGGCGGCGAAGGTGAAGGCCATGGCCGGCGGACCCCGATCCTGCCACACACAGAGAAGGCCCCAGGAGGCCGGTGCCTCCCTCGAGGACCGACTCCCTCAAAACCGGGAGGCAGAAAGGAGCCACGTCTACACACGCCTCTCAAGGCCAGTGGCTAGGAGGGCGCACGGAGAGAGCCTTGAGGGTCAGCGCATGGAGGCTGGATTCCCGCGACTCCTGCGACCCCGCACCCGGCCCTCGCGCGAGGACAGGCAAAGGTGAGTCGAATGCCGTCGGCGGGAACTGTCCCAGATCAGCAGAGAACATCTGCAGGCAGATGCCAACCCGTGAGCCCCTGGAGAGCAACTCGGCGACGGACGCGAGGGCGCCACAAAACCGAGCGAAGAGGTCCCGTCCCGGATCCCGGGCAGGCTCTGGCTCCGCCGCTAAGCCGGCGGCCGGGAGGCGAGGCGAGCGCTCCGCGCGGGACCCCCGCGCCTCGGGCGCAAACGGAGAGCGCGGAGCCAGGCGCCCGGCGCACTGCGCTCCTCCCAAGCCCCACGGCCAGCAGCGCACTTCCTGGGAGACAGGGGCTCTAGGTGGCCAGGAGTAGGCAGGTCCCGCAGGTCCTGCGCCCGGACGCGGCCTCCGTCCGGCGAGGCTGTGCGCTCCGAGGCGCTCCCGGCCGGCCGGCCCCGGCAACCAAGTGTTGGGGGAAACTGGGATCCGACGGGGGCAGCTCCCGTCCGAGCGCTGTCGCGGTGGGTTCCAGGCCAAGTGCTGCTCGTACAGGAGCTCGCTCCACCTGCTGCGCCGCCGCCTCTGCCACAGTGACAACTGTCGCGGCGCAGCCCGGGACCCCCTCCCTCTCGCGCCCCACCCTCGGCTCCGGCTCTGCCGATCACGCCCGCCCCGGCGGGCGGAGACTGCAGCGGCGCGGGCGGGAGAGGTGGGTGGCGAAGCCCGCTGGGCGCCGGTGGCCGCCGCCGCGCGCGCCGGCCTCTGGGGAACTGGAAGCCGGCGGCGCGGCCGGCGGAGGTGGGCGCGGCGCGCTGGGGCGGGGACTCTTTAAAACGTGCGTCTGGAGGAGGCGGACGCTGCGGAAGGGTACGGCGAGTGCCTCGCGCCCAGACGCGGCCGCCGCCCTGCCGGGCCAGCAGTGTCGCTGTCGCGCGGGAAGTGTGGGGACCGGGCGTGGGGGTTGCCCCCTTGTACCCTGGGCTGCTCAGTGGGTCTCCGGAACTGTAGCATACTCAGTGCCTAGGACTGCGTGTCCAGCTCTGCTCCCAGCCCTGCAGAATCTCCAGTAGCGTCATTCCCGCCTATCCTCTACCCTCCCCGCCGTAGGACCTTGGGATTGAGGAAACATGGACTTGGTGAACCACTCAGGGCTGGCGAGGCAGCAAGGGTGGCTTTCGTTTTGGGTGGTGGTCAGTAACACCACCAGTAGTCAAGAGCACACTTCTGGTGTAGACCCCTTTCTAGCTGCAGGTTACTTAACCTCTTTAAACCTCGGTTTCCTTATGTGAAAAACAGAGATAAGAGTAGGACCAAACCATTTAAAAGGATTAAATGGGAACAGAAGTTTAAAAACAAACAAACCAACAAAAATCCTAGCATGACGCCTTGCACGTGGCACGTTCAGGAAGCGGCAGGGCCGCCCGCACGCACACGTGGCGCCGGCGCTCCAGCTTCTGCCGAGCTCCTTCACCACGCTGGCTTTGTGAGGGATTTCTGATGCAGCAGTCAGTGAAAGAGGTTCCGGTCATTCCAGATAGAACTTGGGTTTCAGATAAGTCGAGTCCAGAAAGCAAGGGGAGCTACCCTGAAAAATGACTGGCCAATCTGTGTGAAGAGCAGAACACGGTTTGCACGGAATCTCAGGGCATCTGGTACCTTGCATAGCGTGGGCGCCAGTCACTGTTTGATTCTAACCTGGTGCGCTAACTGCCCTGTTCACAGCTGTGATTCTCCTGACTTTAGAGCTGGAAGGGGTGGATTACTGAGAGCTAGTTTTAAAACTAGCTAGTGACAGAACTAGAATCCAGTCCTGGGCTCTTTCTACTACATCCCAACATTCCTGCACCTGTTTGGCCACGACTCCAACTTAGAAACCAAATGCCTTTCAGCAGGAAGTGGGGAAACGAGCAAGCCCAGAGGCTGATGACCAGAGCAGTCAACAAATCAGCATTTAATCGCCTCTGGTCAGGACTAGCTACATATTCTGCAAGGACAAGTGCAATATGAAAATGTGGGACTTCTTGTTTAAAAGTTAAGAATTTCAAGACAGCGACAGCAGAGCACTGAACCAAGCACGAGCAACTTCTGAGCACAAGACCCTGAGCAACTATAGAGATTGCATGCCTGTGAACCCAACCCTGCTCTGGGTTACAGCCCATATCACTTTGTCTTTTACATAAGTATTTTTTCCAGTAAAAACTGTCATTAAAGAAAATCTGCAAAATACAGAAAATACAGAAGTTAAAACAAACACTACAGTTTGCTACTCTGACACCACCAATACAATAATAATAGGTTTCTTTCTAGCTGTTTTTTGCTTTTTACTTTATATAACTTTTCATTGTTGTAATTATACTGCATAAAATTTTGTGATACCAAAACAATAAGATACTATCAAAGGAAAATTCAAGAATTCAAGAATTTTGAGTCCCTTTGAGTCCAAGACTGATCTGGTTTTTTGTTTCTGCTGGCTCTTGCTTATAGAATCCTAGTTCCTCATGGGTCTGATAATTTTTTATTACGTGCCAACATTGTTTTGAAACATTTTTTGTAGACATTTTTATAGACATACTATCTTTCTCCAATGAGGGTTTTCTACTTCCTTTGCCAAGTGTCATGGGGAACCTAGCTTTCCAGAATTACCTTAACCCAAAATCAGCCTGTGGGATTTTCTAAGCTGAGAAGGTGACAGTGGTTGGTGTGAGGGCTGATTTCTTTCTGGGTCACCGTATTCGCATAGAGCAGTCCTCTGAATCCCAAGCGAGAGCAAACTGCTTATCAAGGCCCATGCCTTGATGGGCCTTGGATTCTGCCTTCTGCCCCCAGCTCCACAAAGCACAGCTCAGTCTCTCAGCTCCCGCCTCCAAACCAACAAATGCCCCTGGGGAAACAGCCCCAGTGCTAGGCTGACCTCGCTGGGCTCTGAATCACTCTCAGAACTTGGCCCCAGTAATGTCTTACTCTCTTGTTGGGTCTTTCATCTTTTTTCAAGAACATGTTTTTTATATTTCATTCAGCTTTTTAAGTCGTGTTCAGTGGGAAGACTGGTCTGAATCATCTAGCCCCGCATCACCAGAATCAGGAGTCTCTACATCAAAAGAAAATTTCAAACAAAAAAATTGAATCCATTATCCCACCACTGTGACTTTCAAGTCTCCATCCAGCCTCTGTTTTTCTTGCCCTTTCCCCAGCCCTACTTTCCATTGTTTTATCAGTTACAGAGTGACAACTCAGCAAAGGTGACTGTAAACCTTCAGAAAATAAGAACCCTAGGCAGTGACTGCTCATTAATTCAAAAAATGTCCGTGCCGTAGTGCTGGCCACTGCCAGGATACATAAGGCTTCCGGTCTAATTGGAGTGGTAGTAACTCCTTCATCCGGCAATGTTTAAAAAGAAATGTCTGTGACACAGTAGAGAAAAGCAAGGGAGAGAATGGGAATGGATGTTGAGTGACCAACCTACATTGTTTCCTCTACTATAGACTTTGAAAACCAATTACTTGATTTTTTCCCCTATCCACCATACAGCCAGGAATGACCATGTGACAAAGTTTGAATTCATTAAAAAGATTATACTTCTTTTACCTGAAATGTAGACCTGATGCCTGGAGGTTCGGCAGCCATCTTATGACCATGGAAAGAAAATCAATGTGTTAAAAATGTAAAAGCTAAGAAGATAGAAGAGCCAGGACCACTGACAACATAATTGAGCCACCCTACCAGCCCTAACTTCCTAGTCCCTGACTTCTTGTTGAATTGGTGAATAGGACAGTAAAACTTCTCACTTTTTTAAGCCATGGAAGTAAAGCATTCTGTTACTTACAGGTGAACAAAATCCTCAACTGATTCCATGGTTTAATAAGGGGGTATATCCTGGTATGCTAGGAAATTGGCATAATCAGTGTATAGCTGGCATAGCAGCTCCATAATACCATTAATGTCCCAGGCTTTTTTTGCCTTCCTGTCTTGCTTTAGCATGTGGATTTGGTTCTCATGGTCCCAAGAAGGCTGCTGCACCTCCAGCCATCATGTTCATATTACAGGTAGGAAGGAAAAAAATAGTCAAAAGTTTTCATCTCATGAAGGCATATCTTTTAGGGAGAGTAAGGGAAGCCTCCCCAGAGATATCCTACATCTCACCGGCCAGAACTCTTGACACTTGGCCACATCCACCTAATTGTGAGTCTGAGAAGGTGAGTATTCTCTCATTCCAGCCTTTAGGAAATAGGAAGGCAAAGGAAAGGGAGTTTGAGTGGCTTGTGAATAGTCAGGACACATTGCTGCTGTACTGCTACAATCAGGTTTCTGTTATCAGCAACCTAATACAATTTCCAGGTGCCACAAGTTGAGCTAAGAATGGTGTATAAGAAGAGAGACAATGTTTTGGGGGTAGCATGATCAGGGAGGATTCATAGACAAAGTAGTAACTTAAGGAAAGTACATCAAACTCTTTCTCTGCTCTTAAGTAAGCCTGATTATTCTGTGTTTTCCTGACCCAATCCTGCTCCTCCTGAGTTTAATATGTAGGTTA